ATGGCACAAAGGAAATGTCTCTTTGTGAAATAGGCCGCCACTGCCCTGCATCTTTCCCTGGCCAGATTATATATATACTCCAGTTTATAGGTGCTAGATTATGTAAACCTAGATTATATAATCTTGCTTACCATAAGCTAGAAGGAAATAAGATGTTGAGCTGTTTGGTAACCCATATTATTATTGTTCACCGGAGATCTATACATCTTTGTTTGGTCCTTTGAACACGATATGACATGTGCACTCAACAACAGCATAGCGTGAAAATTATAATTAGACCCTCCTCAACCCCCCCGGCAGCTCTTGTCCTTCCCCTCTCCGTTCCGCGAGCAATGGCATGCATCGCGCAGGGTGGCGAGTGCGGATGCCAGCAAGCAGCGCGAGGTAGGCGCCGCCACGAAGCACCACCGCCAGCTACTCTCTCCTCCCTCACTTCTCCATCCTTGCTCAACTCTTTGAGGGGCATGGCGTCCGACGCACAGGGTGTTGAGTGCCAGCGATGGAAAATGGCATGAGTTCAGTGTCGACAAGCGGTAGTATGCAGCGGAAGGTCGACGTAAGCTTCACATTTGTTCCCACATCCATTCATGTCGTTGTAGGCCATCACTGTTTCAACGAGTGCGCAATTGAGTCTGCCATGGTCCCCTTATCCCCTCGTGCACGTATTCAGGGCAAGTATGCCGGATCCAGAATTTCCACCGCTACCTTCTATACCTTCTGCCTGTCATCAACTGTCGAGTGGGGACGCTGTAAGCACTGCCTCCGCTCCTCTCTGCTCTAAATGAGTGCATCTCTCACGTCCGTGTGCACCTAGTGAGCGCCTCCTTTGGCCGCTCCGTTGCCCGACGGGGGCGTAGAGAAGGGGGGTGCAGGGAGGGCCTAGCCCCTCTAAGGATGCATAGCATGTATTACTACTATTCATTAGTATAACTAATTATAGAGATTATAGGTCAAAAAAGTCTCTTCAATTAAAATAACAAATGTCTAAATACAAATAAAATATTTTTTCTCAAATTATATCTTCTGATTGTATAATTCTATTATGTGGTTAGATAAAATAAATATAATGTGAACCGTTGGTTTTATGAATAATGTCCTTTTCTATCTTCAAGTTACACAATTAGTACTTGTCTGAGTGAAGAAGAGAAAGAGACTAAAGATGAATTATAGTTTTTTTAAGCTAACCTCAAGGTCAATTATTTTTTAAGCCGACACCAATTTCTAGCACTGGTATCCTGATTTTTTTTCACTTCTTCTATATTTTAGGTGCCCATTTATTTGCATGTAGTGTAGATAACGACATCCAGCAGTCAAACCGGTAGCCCATTTTATTGTCCGATATAATTTGTTTTCTTATTCAGCGACACTTTCCTTTTGGGATACGATTAAATTGACCATTTATTTACTGTGACCTTCAAACATGTTTCTGTTATCTTTGAAAATGCATACATGGTGCAATATATGGGGTTTGGCTTTATTTTCTTTATTTAATAATTTCCTGGCATGGTGGGCAATAAAAACGTAAGCATATGCGTATACATATTGGATTTTTTTTATAATGGCAGTAGAGCAAGACCCTGTTTGGATCCTTGAAATTAAATTTATTTTAGTAATCGTATTTTAGACACATGTTAATTAAGCTAATATGGTTGTATATTGATTATATTTGTATATTTTGTTGGCTATATGAGAGAAGTACTTATGTGTTGTATTTCTACCATAGGAGAGTGAGTTAAAGAGTGTATTATAAGTGAAAAGTAAAAACATAGAATGGCGATCTATAGATCCATTTCCATCTTCTACCCTATGAATTTGAAATAGTCTTATATGTGAACTATAGAAAGTGATGGAATATCAAATTTCAAGCCAAATAGCTTAATTTATTAAGTAGATTTTAATTCCTCCAAATAAAAGAATCCAATCGGCCCCTAAAAAGTAATTTTTTGACATTTGTACCAGTACCTTGCTTTTTATTTTGCCTGATTAATGTGATAATTTATAGGACGGAGCTCTTTTATTTGGTAGAATATTAAGATAATAGATTTTTGGGATGTTTGTTCCAAAAAAAAGATTTTTGGGATGTTACGCCATTATTGTCGTTTTCCACTTCTATACAGAAATGTTTTCTAGAGGCGACTGTGATGGGTCTGACCCCAGGTACCCACGGCGGACTACATGGCCGCACCGCAAGAGATGGTCCAGCCCACAAGATGATAGCTTGCGGCTAACGGCACAGCTCGGCTCACGTTGTAAGGCACATCGGCGACATCCTGAAGATCACGTAGAATCTGTTAGGATATGCTGAATGTATGATTCCATGTATAGACTATCTCTTATCCGATCGGACTCTGACCTGATCGGCATGTAACCCTACCCCCGGGCTATGTAAGGCGGGTAGGCCCCCCCCCCCTCAAAACACACGCAATCATATACAATAGCAATACAAACCGACGGGACATAGGATTAGGGTATTACGTCAAGCTGACGGCCTGAACCTGTCTCAATCTTATATCTTATCACCATCTCGCTCCTGATCTCACTCACCTCTACGACAAATCTACCATCGTGGGTATACCCTCGGTAGACTGCCAAGCACATTTAGTCGACAGCGACTGAAAAGGCTTTCTATCTATATCTAGAGGCAGGCCAAAACTTAGCCTAAAAAAATTGTTTTAACACGAGAGAGGCACCTCAGGCCTTGTGCCTTGCATCTTTAAAACCATGCCTCAGTCACTTGTGACTGAGGGCCCTTTAGAATGGAGGATTTTTTCCCAATACCTATGTTTTTCAGTGAAAAATAAACTAATTCCTATAAAATTCCTATATAATACCTATGAAATTCCCTACGTATCAGAGAGCTCTAAGTCGAAGCAGCTCATACATTCCTTTTTAACCATTTTAGTGAATATTGTGATGCATATCTGAGACTCTAAACGAATAAAATGAAAAAGGTTTGAACTGAAAAGTTCTATATCTCTTCAAATACTTCAACTTTGGTTTATGTCGTTTCTCCATCAGAAGTTATTTAAAAAAATTAATCTTAAAATAGAATTTCAGGGCTCTAAATGATTTTAAATGAAAAAGTTGTCAACTACAATGTTCCATATCTCTTCAAGTACTGTAACATTGGTTTTAGTCAATTTTCCATCCAAGGTTCTTTAAAAATTTAAAAAAAATAAAAAATATAATAACTTAAAAGAGTTTCATAGCATTTTTAAAGGCGGTTGTGGTTTTCAGTCAGCTCTAAAAGTATAGGGCATATCTATAGGTGTTGGAAAGCCTAGTCATCCCTAAAAAGCCAATTTTCTAGATGCTAAGGAGCCATTTTTGAAGATATATGCCGCCTCTAACAAAAACAAGAACACCTCTCCAAAAAATCATTCACGTATTGCAGTGTGAGCTAAGTTTCAAATATTATTGCCTCAGAGTTTTTAAACCGCTGAGTGCCCAAAAATAAATGGAGAGAGACCGTATCAAACTGCAAAAGATGCCAAACCGGTAAAACTCAAGGGTTTTTCGTGTCTGCGAATGTCGCAATCTAATTTGATTTGAAATTTCCACTTGGTTGAATTGCTGGCTTTTCCACGTTGGCATATGTGCATTTTTCTGCTTTTTTGGGCAGGACCGCGGGAGGCTTCATCTGCCAATTTTCTTGGCCGATTCTAATCAGTGTAAAAATATAGGTGCTGACAAAATAAGCGTGCTACTAGCGGATCGCTACGTGCACCCATACAGCTAGGGATGAAAACGGTCGAAAACGGTCGAAAAACTTCTCAACCGTTTTTTATTTCTACATTTTGAATACGAAAACGAAAACGAAAGCGGTAAAGCCGGACATGAAAACGAACACGAACTTACAGAATATCAAAAATTTCGAAAACGAACTAATTCGAACAAAATTATATCGAACACGGTCGGTATACGGAAAATCAATACGAAATATTGAGCTGTAGGACCAAGTGCATAACAATTAACAAGTACAAAATAATTAACAAGTCCTACAACTTTCTTAAAAAATATCTCCATTCGACACGACGTAAAGAAGATGTGATTTTTTAAGGCAATAAGCGCTTGTACGCGATTAATATATCGCTGACTTTGTTTAATTTTTTTGAACATCTTCAAGACATCAAATGAAAAAACTAAGAACTAGAAAGTTGTAGATCTCGTTGAGAGCTACAATTTTCATATAAAAATCATCTTCATCCGAGATCGTATGAAAAATATATAATTTTTCTAAGGTTGCACTTGTAGTGGGCCAAATTTGGTTTAAACCGAATTTCGAAACTGAATTTTGAATTCGGAATATTCCGAATTAAAAGTAGAAAAGTAGAAATCGGTCGAACAAAGCCTAAACCGAATTCGATCCGATTTCGAATTTGGTGTTCCGAATTTCGAATTCGAATTTAGTATTCCGTATTTTGTCCGAAAATACGAATTCGCTCGGATCAAATGTAGAAAACGATGCGGTTCGGTTTGGGATATTTCCTTTCCGTTTTCATCCTTACATACAGCAGACTGCATCGGCCAAGTTTAAGACTTGTAGTCCACAATCGGGAGTGAGAAAAATAGTAGAGCAGCAAGGACAAGGTAAGAATCCGACCATAAGATAGCTACATGCGCATACCTCGTCGGCCATGTCAGTGTCACCGGCCTCTGTGCTGTAGAGGTGGCCATCGAGGCTGCCATTGCTGACCAGTTCGTAGACCAGCAGGAGCCGCCTCCGGCCATGGCACCAGCCGATGAGCTGCCCCAGGTTCCGATGCCGCAGCCGGCTGATGACGGTGACCTCGGACCGGAATTCCTTCCTTCCCTCCATGGACGCCCCCCGAGAGAAAACCTTGATGGCGACATCGAGGCCGGACTCCTTCAGGTGGCCGCGGTACACCGACCCCGACCCGCCCTGCCCCAGTTTCCCCTCCGCCGCGAAGTCCTTGGTCGCCGACGCGAGTTGGGCGTACGGGATGGGTCGGGGCCCCGTGCTGGACTCGAAGTCGCTGTCATCGACGACGTCGAGGGAGTCGTCGCCGTCGGTGGTTAGCTTCTCTTCGTCGTATGGTTGCTTGCCCCTTCTGCTTGACCGCCGAACTAGTAGCACCGCCACGGTGGCGACGAGCAGGAGAACCAGCAACCCGGCGGCGGCCGCTCCGGCGCTGAGTTGTAGAGTGGTCTTCTTGGTGGACGAGGTCACAGGGATGGAGGTGCTGTTCTTGGTTGCCAACGTCGAGACGAACGAGAACCGTGTGGTTTGCAGCGTACTCGTCGCCTGTCGCCGCCGAGAAGTCAACTGCGACTTTCTCCGGCGTCAAGCTTCTCAAGTCCACGGTGGCTACGGACGTGTAAGTGGCGCTTCCGACCATCAGGGTGACGTCAAGACCGCGCGTGCGGTTGTCGTAGACGACTGTCGCGAACACCACGCCGGCGTCGACGAGGCTGCCGTCTGGCAACACCGTGTAGTCGCCGCGGGAGTCCATGTTGTTGATGTCGATGCCGATGTGCTGGCTGCTCGGGTCCCAGATGTCCTTGTGGATGTCGAACTCCACGGCGACGAACCTCGAGTCGCCGGACGCGTTGAACCTGGAGTAGTTAGGCACCTCGCTCTCATCGAAGAGGCCGAGGCAGCCGTCGTAGGACTCCTGCGGCAGGTCCGGCGTGTACGGCGCGAGGAAGAACGTCATGCCGTGCCCGGCGCTTGCAGCGCCCTTGCCAGGCACTGACTGGATGCTGAAGCTGAAGTTCGCGGTGAAGCTGGCAGCCTCGCCGGTGGTGCCGTCCCAAAGCTGCACCGGCTGCTTGTGCCACGCCCGCCCCCTGGCACGCCCTGCGAACTCGTCGCCGAGCAGCTCGATCCTGCCATCGAGTGCCCGTGCGTCGTCCTCCGGCCTGAAGTCATCGGGGTTGAAGGAGCTGTAGTTGTAGCTGAAGGAGAGAGAATTGGCATGATAAGGGGCATGCAGTGAGAGGGCCAAGCAGAAGAATGGAAGCTGCTGCTGACGAGCTCTGCTGCCTGAGCATGAGCACAAGTTTTTTACAGCCATGGAAGTTATTTGGGTGTGTTCGTCTAATTCGATGATTGGACTGTCACAACAATGGCATACTCCACTCAGTTGTGTGTGAGATAAGTCGACCATCGTGCCTCATCAATAGTAGTAAGGTTGTCAAGTGGGTCCCATGCTTCGGGACGGCCCACACAAGTAGCTAGCTAGTCAGATTTTTTATGAGCATGTTGTCGATTAGCGTGTTTGGTTTACCGATCCAACTCATGCGGCATGGAGAGGTCCAACATAGACTCGTCAGGAAGTTTCTCGTGGAACCACCTCGTCCGCATCCTAGGCAGGTGAGTGAAATTTTTGTATTTTGGTCTCTTTTGAAAACAATTTTTACAAAAATACCTAGGCCAAAACATTTTCTGAAAATAGACCATTTTTAGACGTCTTAGCACATGACGCCTAGATATGAGGCTCGGCGTCGTGTCACTCAACGCTGAGGTATTGCCACGTCACGGATGACCGGTGTCGACGAAATATGGTCGGCAGTCTACCTAGGGGTATGCCCAAGGTAGTAGATTATCGGCAGACAGGTGCGCAAGTCCCAAACAAGACGGTGACGCAAGACAGACACGAGGTTTTATCCAGGTTCGGCCGCCAAGAAGGCGTAATACCTACGTCCTGCGTCTGATTTGTATTGCTGTATGTCAATGAGAGATGATTTTTAGAGGGGTCCCCTGCCCGCCTTATATAGTCCGGGGGGCAGGGTTACAGATCTGGAAACTAATCCTAGTCGGTTACAATTGCCATATGTGGCCGGATAAGGATTCCTATTCTAATCGACCAGGATCCTGCTTGGTCGCCAAATCCGTCTTGATTCCTTGTGCGGGACTCCGATCAGGTTAACTGGGCCGCACGTCATCTTTCAGGTGGACTGAACCTATCGATCCAGGCCAACCCAAGCTTAGCCGTAAGGGTATAGGGGTTAATACCCCCACAGCTAGTCCCCGAGCATCATGTATTATGCTGCGACACGCCATTTTAACCTTCTCCGACAAGCAAGGCTTGAATTCTTGACGCCTCCGACCACCGTCATCACCGGAGAAGTAGGTTGTCCGAAGAATGTATGGTGCTCTTAAGAAAAAAGAAAAAGATTTCTGTCCTGAGAAGTGTGCCCACTTGTATTTCTGAAAAGAAATGTAAGTGCGTCTTGAAGCGTAGCATCCTCGATCATCAGAGGCGTAGGGGTCGAAAAACAAACACATTCACCGCAAGGTGAAGTGTGCCCACTTAGTCCCCGAGCCTGGTAGTAGGTGACGTAGGCACGTGGTGCCAGGGTCTAAAAAAGAATTCCCAGTTAAGTTGAGAATCCAATCGTCGTACAAGCGATACGAGATGCACTTGGCAGTGCATCGTCACCGATGTAGTCCCCGAGCTTCTTTGGAAGGCGAGGTATGAGCCTTTGTAGCAAGGTCTAAAAGAAAAAAAGTCTCTTAACTGTATGTGAGTACAAATCACATGTAGCCAAGGAGAGCCATTATTCAAGCGGTGGTCGAGCGGTCCCCGAAAGCACGGCCGTGGTCGGAGCGATCCCCGAGCACAAAAAGTGGTCTGAGAACGATGAGTGGTGCATGCGGTCCCGAGCACATTAGTGGTGCAGGCGTTATCCAAGCACGATGAGTGGTCAAAACAAATCCACGATCACTTGCGCTGCTTGTACTATTATTTTGTGTACTTTTCTCTATTCTCTGCCAAGACCAGTCTGACACGTTCGGTCAAAAAAGTCAATAGGTACGGTACGTCATTCTGTCTTTTTTTTTTTTTTTTTTTTTGCAAACAGTTGGTTGACACCTGTATTGAGGTGTGTCAGTGTGGGCCTCCTTACACCATCAACGGGGAGGCGCGTACATTGTTAATGAAGTAGCGCATTTATTGGCGCAGATTTCGAGGTTGTGTGAACAACCCTCTGCGGCGCGTGCACACGACCCCCAATATTCTCGGGCGGACGAAACGACGGGGCTCGTTGTTTTATATAATGCAGATCTGGTAAGCTACTCATACCGCTCCCCATTGTCATCCGCCATAACCTTCTTCTTCCTCCCGCCAACCCTATTGCCCCAAAAAGCATCACCAATCCCCTCGGTCTCCTGCATCCACCCACTTAGGAAGCACGACCTAATGGCGAAGGGAGACGCCCAGAAGAAAAGCAGGGTCATGGCGAAGGAATGGTGGAAATCGCGGAGCAACGAGCAGACCATCGAGGACCTCGTCGCCATGGGGGTGCTCCACAACAAGGCACTTGCGGGATGGCGTGCACCGGTAGGAGAAAGCTTCCCCGATCCACAACCAGGTGAGATTGTGGTCTTTGAAGATTTCTTCAAACGGGGTTTTGGGATTCCAGTGCACCCTTTCCTTCAGGGTCTCTGCTTGTACTACGAGATTGGGATTTGCAATCTGCATCCCAACTCGATTCTTCTTGTCTCCACCTTCATCCATCTCTGCGAGGCTTATGGTGGCTTCCAACCCCATTTCGACCTCTTCCGCCACCTATTCTGTCTTCGGAAGAAAGGGAGCGGTGGCTCGAAGATCGCCGGTGGCGTTTACTTGAACCTGCGTGACGGCATGAAGGCTCAATACCTGCACTGCCCCTGGAACACCTCCTTGGACGAGTGGTACAAGAAATGGTTCTACATCCGTGAAGAGCCGAACACCATCACTCATGCGATGTAGGACTGATTCCAGAGAAGAAAAGCACTGGTCGGAGAAGCCCGAGAACTTGGAGCGGATCGCCGAACTGCTCGGGATGATCCGTGGGGAAGGCTTGATGGCCCGGCGTTGTCGGCAACTTCATCACCAAGAATCCAGCCCGCCGAAAAGGATTCACCCCGACTCACGAAAGTACCAAGGAGGCGCTGATCCGACGAGGACCGGGAAGGAGCCGCTCGACAAGGTGGAAATCAAGGCCGAGATTGGAGAGCTATTCAACTGGCCGATCCCAATTATGTTGCATTGGGCGCCATCGAACACGCCTTCAAGCCGGCTCGCCCTCCCCAAAAGGTAAATGACGCCACCTTTTAACTCAGAGAATCATGTCGCATCAAGAAAATAAGCATCTTTTACTTCATTTTGTGTCTCGATGTAATGGTCGTGACCGGGCGAGAGTGTTTGTGTCGCCTCCCCGGTGTAGAATGGCCACAAGCTCTTTGGGCCAGCCCGCCGAAACAGCGCCCGGACCGATGACGTTCATCGGCGGTACTCGAGACCGTGAGGGGCGCCTCGACTAGAGCCGGCCGGCAAGCGTCCGGCTGCCGACAACGACGTCAAGCCATCTTCCCCGCTCGGACGGACGGCGAAGCGGAGGATCGCGGATATCCTCCGGCTCGTCCCCGAAAGAGGAGAAAGCGGTGGGACCGTCGGAGCGGGTGGCTCCTCGTGCGGCGATGGTAACAACACCGACCACCATGCAACCACGAGCATATAGACGAAGGAACATGCCGCATCATACTCCGACGCCTGCGTCTGGGAGGTTGCACAAGCCCGATGGACACCGCCGAGCAAGCGGAGAAGCGAGGCGGTCGAGAGACGCGTTCGCCGTCACATCCTTTCGCAAGTCAAAAGCGTAAGTATCTATACTTTTTGATGTAAGCTTTGCGTTTTGCATTGGATGCTATTATCTTACGAATTTGTCTCTGAATGTATTAGATCGGCGTCCACGAAAGCCCGACCAGCTAGCTGGGTGCGGAACGTCCTTACCAACAACGGCGGGACAAACGCTTTCGACAACCAGGTAGTGGAGGAGCCCATGGCGAGACTCCGCTTTGGGCCTCGATGGCGCGGACGACGACGCCGATCCCGAAAGAGAATACAAGTGCTCGAAGCACGAACAACGATGAGGCGGATACCACGGCGCCAGTGGAGCTGGATCTAACCGAGGGCAGCAGCGAAGTTGCCCGAACATGGTTGCCGACGCGACGGACTCCGTGGGAAAGTTCGGTGAGCGTGGAGTCTGCGAATCCCGGACCATGCCGCCCCCCGAACAGAAATCAAAGAGGATGAAGTGGAAGAAGTCTGGGCCGTCCCAAGATAGGCGACAACATGTATATGTGTCGCGCTTTGAAACGACGAATGGGTCATGCGAGAAATCCCGAGATCGAAGAGACCATAAGAGTCGAACAGGCGTAAGCGTCTGGTGGTCAAGTCCGGTATATTTGGCTTTAGTCGTTGACCTGTTAGTAGTCGAACTGTCGGCGTAACTTATGTCGTGTGCGGGACTTGATGAAAACGCAAGATACCGAAAAAGGTGCTTCGACCAGATAGAAGGAATCATGATGACCAATAAGGAGCCGCGGGGTTGAAGTGGATCGCCTCGACGCCAACTTGAAGCCGCCGACCGAGAGAAAAGACCAAGAAGCACGTAACCAAAGCACAGTCGGTCATTTCGAAAACAAAGCGCGGAAAAGCAGGTAAGTGTTCACCGTATCACAGCAAGTGCGGGACTTGTGTTATTTTGTTCTTGTGATGTCATAGCTGTAATGCAGGTTTAGAAGTCTGAAGTGACCCGCCTCGGGGGGAGAAAAACGGTCGTGCGCTTGCGAGAATGTGGTCGCTGAAGGAGGACAACGAAAATCGCACGCCGCCAAATCGAACTCCAAGACCACACAGCGATGTAATGAAGGACAACTGAAAGGTAAGCACTCCAGACCACCTTTCTCATTCAATTACCCTCATGGCCTTGTCGTGTCATCACGTTTGATATCTTGTACTGTTTTCAGTTTTGAAAGTCAACGCCAAGAGGCACCTTGAGGCCGATCATCAAGGAGCGTGGACGAAAAAAACGCAATGCCTTAAGGCCACCGAGGAGCGGGACATGTGGAGCAAGCGGTGCCAAGAAATGGCAATCGGCATTGTGCCCGCCCTCGACCTTATCGACCAGCGCCACAGAGGTAGAGCCAAGGACGCGTCATTCGGGACTGGTCGAGAGATGCAAGCAAGCATGGGGATGGTTCCAAGACTTCGTGAAGGAGGCGGGTGAGTACACGGGTGCCCATGTG